GTGCCCTGACTGGGAATCAAACCCTGATCTCCTGGATCCTAGGTCGAAGGTCAACAGCTGAGCCACGCCCGGCTGGGCTATATATGTGTCTTAATATAAACATACATTTTCCTTTCTCTTAAGTAAATACCTAAGAGTGAAATGGCTGGGTCATGTGGTAGGTGTATGTTTGACTTTTAAAGAAACTGCCAGTTTTCCAAAGTAGTAGTAATCATTTTACATTCACACTGGTAATAGCTGAGAATTTCAGTCCCTTCTCTTCCTCATCATCACTTAGTAAGGTCAGTCTTTTATATTTTAGACATTTATATCTCATTGTGGCTTTAATTTGTATTTTCCTAATGACTAATGATGTTGAGACTCTATTTATGTGCTTATTTGCCATCCATACATGTTCTTTGGGGAAGCCTCCATTCTAGCTTTTTGCCCATTTTTAAATTGGATTGCTTGTTTTCTTATTATTGAGTTTGAATGCAAGACTCTACTGTTCCCAAATCCATACATAAGCAAACATGGATCCCTGGTAAACTTTCCCTGGATGAATACAGGCAAGAAACTGGTAACACTACCTCTAGGGAGGAGCGTCTGGAGGGGGGAACGAGAGTGAGAGAAGGCTTATGTTACATTTATAGCATTTTTAATTTTTGAATTTCATAACATCTATAACCTGTCTGAAAATAAGAAGCTGTGAAAGAAAAAAACAAAAAAGTGTCTGTAGCTTTGGAAATTAAACATGGAGTCCTTTTTTCCATCTACACGCTATCATATAGTTTGTTGATAGAACTAGAGATGAAAATTTGCATGATCACGATTTTAGATGCAACAGATTTTGAATATATAATAAAATCTATTGACATTTATTTACAAATATAGTCTGTAAAACAAGAGAGAGGTAAAATAAGATTTTATAAATAGCTTTTGTGATGACTTTTGAAGTAGATAAAATTTTGATAAGCAAAAATAGCAGGGACAATATTTCTAGTATAGTCACACCACAGAAAAACTAAAGGGAGAGGCCATGCTGTGGGATGTCAGGGATGAGCAATAAGGGTTACCATGTCAAAGGCCTTGAAAGCTAGGAACGGGAGACTGTATTTATTGTGGAAGGCAATGGGAAACCATTGATTGGAAATTTACTTTTGGAAGATGCCTTTTCAGTAGTATACCAGGTTGGTTAGAATAGGTAACACAGGGATGGGAATACCAGTTCAGAGGCTATTGCAAATCTAAGAGAAAAGCAGAAAGGCCCAAATTTGGGTTCTGCCGGTAAAAATGAAGGGAAATAATAAATGTGTTAGACCCTGAAAAGATAGAATAAAGAGAAATTCATCATAATCGAAGAATAGTGGGACAGTGAGGCACAGTAGAGAAGACAGGGTAGAGTAGGTTTTCAAAGGCAAGATGATTCTATTCTATAGAGGGACAGTCTGGGGTAGCAGGGGAAGATCCAGGTGGTGACGAGCAGTTTTTATTCCCCAATTTAAATATTTATTAAATTCATAATTTATCTTATAATTTTGTGGCCAAGAGGATATTAAGCCAATAAGCTTCAGATCATCTGTAGCTTTATAATGATCTGAGAGGTTCTCATTTATAATATGTATGACAAAATGCAGCATCGTAACATCTTTCTCTTTCTTGCCCTCTCGCAATCCCCTCCCTGCCTTCTATTTTCTTATCATTTTTCTTAGCCAAGTTTTTGACTGATGGGTTTGGACATTTTAAAGTTATACTATGTGTATTTTATGATTTTTCCTTTATCTTACAAGCCGTCTATACTTTGTTTCATAAATAGGGAAGGGAGAAAGCAAAGGAAGCAGGTAATCAAGAAAGAAGAGTTTCAAAATCCAAGATTGTCAGAGTGTGAAAGGCTTCAAAAGAAAGCTAAGTGGACAAGAACTTCAGAAAGTCCATGGGTTCCATAGACAATAGTGAAGTGAAGGCCTGGGGCAGGGAGTGGGTGCAGGGTGGAGGGGTTAATGGGGAAAAAAGGGGACATCTGTAATATTTTCAACAATAGAGATAAATTAAAAGAAAAAAAGTCCATGGGTTTGGCAATTAGGAGACCATTGGTGACCATTATTAGTTGGGATATTTTTGTTGTAAGAAAATGTAATTCAAATGTGCTTTAAAATAAAGGAAATCTATAGGTATAAATAAAAAGTCTGACACCTGTCATGGTATCAAATTAGAGAAAGCTGTTCTGTACTCACTTCTCCTTCCTCAGCCATTGAAATAAATATGAGGTTTCACTCTGAACAGATCGACTTAGGTCAGTGCTCACTCCTGAGCCAATGACTCTTCCCGAGGTAGTGCTGTGCATTGACTGGCTTAGACTTCGGTTACCTATCCCTGAACGGTCCTGATGAAAAGGGACATACAAATATTTTGACATCTTAGACTGGTAATGACCCATTGCTGAAGCTGCAGTTAAGGTCAGTCCTACCCAGACTAAGGGGCTGATACACAGTGCAGGAGAGAAGACGTGTTGCACTACAGTGGTCATTCGGAGAGTAGCTCCCAAGGACGGTGAGAAAAACTATAGGTAGGAAAGGCTAAGAAGTTAGTGCTTGAAGAGGTACCGAGCAAGGAGGCGCAAAATGAATTTTCAACAGCTTTGACTATAAAAGGCAAAGAAGAAAATATAACAGTAACCAGAATAATAGGTTGTTTGTCCCAGCGGTCCTCTCTTTTTTAAGCTCAGTGCAGTGGAAATCATTGATTGCCTCTCAAATCCTCCCTTCTTTCCAAACACAACTTCAAATTTGACCAGTGTCCATATCATCTTCAGGCAACCATATACACAAAGGAAGGAAGCTGAGCCTCAGCTCCAGCTCCAGCTCCAGGTAATTCTATCTCTTGTCAGTAGTTGTTTCAGGAATGTGCCTGTGAAGCAATTCTGGCAGGTGAGAGGTAAGGTTTACTGTAGGCTTCTGGGAAAGTGGTTCCTTGCTCTCGTGAGTTTGTGCATCTCTTTCACCACCTGCCCCACACTACTCTCATGAAGGAAGCATGTGGTGCGATTGCAAACAAAGCATACAAAAACCATAGGGAAATACCCTTGTCGTGAAAGGCAGAGCAGATGAAAGAAACCAGTCAATTCGATTATATGATTTGACAACCCTAGACCTTACGTAGTCGCTGGACTTCAAGTCATGTAAGCCAACAAAGGTCCCTATTGCTCAAGCAGTTTGAGTCAATTGTTCTGTCAGTTACAGCCAAAACCATCATAACTGAATAGGAAATGTATGGACTGTTTTTTAAATTTTTATTTATTGATTTTGGAGAAAGGGAGAGAGAAATCATCGACTTGTTGTTTCACTTATTTATGCATTCATTGATTGATTCTTGTATGTGCCCTAATCAGGGATCAAACCTATAACCTTGGCGTATCGGGCCGATGCTCTAACCACCTGAGCTACCTGGTCAGGAATGGATGTTTTTTCTAGGCAGAGGGGAAGGAACCAATGGAGAGGGAAAAACTAAAGAGACCAGAAAAAGAAGGGACTATTAATGAAGTTCCTGGGACTAGAGAGTAAGGAAAACCTAGTTTCAGAAAGTGGAGGAACATTGTTATTTTGGGGTATATGGTAAGAAAAGGAAGGCATAAAGATAAAAAGACACTTTTGGGTGAAAAGGAGGGAAGTTTTGAGAGTACATTGTTGGACTGGCTTTGACCCCAACACATTAGAAAGCAAACTCATTCCACGAGTGAATAAAAGGCTTAAGTGAAGTTATAGATGTAAAGAGAATGTTAAGAGTTTATAATAATGGCTCCATTCATTTCTTCCTTTGTACATTCAGTATATATTTGAGGATATCAAGATGTACAAACATAACATACAGAAACTGTTTTAAACTGTATGCATAAAACATAAAAAGATGCATCCCCTTGCTTTCCAGAAGACTGTAGTTTAGCTCAGTAGTTTTCAAAGTGTACTCAATACAACAGCAACAGCTAATCTGTATAAATGCAAATTCTCCGGTCCAACTGCCACTGAATCAGAAACTCAGATGTAGTCTGCAATCCATTTTTAACAAGCCTTCTAGACGATTCCAGTGCACACTAAAGTTTGAAAACCACTGGTCAACAGTGACAGTTAAGAGTTATAAACAAAAGGCAGTGGGAGCACAGTGGATGGAGCGCTTGGTAAAATCAGAAAGGCTTCTAGAGGAAGGAGTATGTAAGCTCAAACTTCAAAGAATGCATAGAAGTTTGCTAATGCTGGTGCAAAGTGTTATATGCTCCATGTCCATTTAATAATACCATTGTACCACTTTTGTTTTTTCTGTTAGTTCTGAGTTCCTGCAGTTAGCCGTGAAATTCTAAGCCCTTCTAACTGGCAATAGGAGAAATCTCAAGAATTAAATGTTCCCTTTTCCTGAAGCTTCTAAAAAAGCAAATATTCTGCATCATAAAACAGTCCTTGTAAATGTTATTTCTAACAAAGAAATCCTGTAAGATATCCAGGCTTCAAAAACTATTGCTAAAATGTCTGTAATTCTAATTGGCTATCTTACATAACATGTAAAATAAAATCTGTTTTCTACAAGTCAGTTTTGAACACTTGTTTTCTCTCATAATCATGAAAAAATGAATAAAACCTGGCTCAACTAAATTTCTTCTTTGAGGAGTGTGAGAGTGCATATCTAATTTAAATCAATACTAAGTAGATAAGACAGAGGCAAGAAGAGCAAGGATACTATGCACTGGAGGAATTAATTCTACATTTCTTTAGTACAAATCTGGAGAGGAAGGCCAGAGGACAAATGGGTAGGCAGGTAGATTACGTGGCACACAGTGGAGTTAACACATCCTTCAGCAGGTGATAAGGAGCTGTCAAAGAAACCAAACATGAACAAAAAAGCAAATGATTAAATATCCATGTCAGGAAGCTCAATGTAGGAGGTAAACTGGAGTGGACCTAGGAAAGAATTTGGTAATTGGTGCCTTGATCCAGTATTATGTGATTTTCCCTTTAAAGAAAAAGTCCAAACTGTGTAATTTGAAACTTTATTTTAAAAATATTCTGAAATTTGAATGTTTCAAGAATCTTAACCACCACCACCTACTTTTCAATACATACACGTTTTGTAGAACCTACTGCAATACAAAACAAGAACCAATCATTCCACTAACTCAGCCAATCAAATTACTTCTGTAAATAATCATACCATAGCCTGGAATCACCTGAAGGAAAAATTTATCTAATTCTCTTTAAAGATATTTATAAAGTTTATTTTTTCAGACAACCAAAGTAGTTGATTCCACACTAAACCATTCTGGCATGCAGCAAATCATCATTTAATATATAATGTTTAATCTTGTCATGAATGTATAGTTTATTTTCACTCCTATAGTTTCCACAAGAAGCTTGCAGTGATAGTAAAGGTAAATAAGTATTTTGTAACAGGTACTTCAAATAGCACTACAATACATCTTTGACAAAATTTTTACAATATTCCAACTTTCAATATGAAACAGCTTAAAAAGGCATGGGCCAAAAAAAGTACAGTATCACTTAGGCAAATGAAATCTAATAATCATACAAGCACAACACTGTTAAGGACTCTCCCTGTTTGGGCTGGGAAAGGCATATATGAGACATTTACTTCAAATAACATTATATTAGTAGCTTAGGAAAATCCCAAAATACATCATTTCAGACATATAAACGGGAAAAAACTCTTGAACCTGTATTCTTAGAAAATATGAACTCATTTTTACTTGCTTTAATGTAATAAATATGTTTTTGAAAAGTTTTTTCTAAAGTAAATTCTTTAAACCATCTTGCTTGCACTGGAGGAACGTACCTTAAGAAAACCTAAGAGAACTTATTCTTTAAAAGATGATTCTCCTGCACATTTGTAAACACTGGGAATTTTATCTGTACTGTTATGTTTCATCTCTGTAAATTAAACCCAAGCTTCTCAAAATTCACTTGCAAAACACATAAGCAGACCAACCCCTCCCTTTTCACACACAAGCAGTTCAGAGTAAATTCAAAACTTACGATTGTTCATTTATTCATTCTTAATAGAGGGCCTGGCTTGTCACTGTATTTAAGTGTGCTAGAATCAATACCCACCTGTTCTTTTCACCTTAGAAAGATAATGGTTATTTTTTTTATTGCTAGGAATTGCTATTCTTAAAGATTTAATTTAAAATGGCAAATATGAAGGGCAATTTGTGATTATAAGTCTTTTATGGTTTAAGATGAAATATTTCCCAAATCATGACAGTACTGTTTAAAAGAATGATAGCCTCAAGCATCTTGTTCCTATTCAGGAGTAATTATCTTACTAATTAAAATAACAATTTACTAAGGATCAAAACAATACTCTTTAGCATTAGAATCTTATAAAAAATATAGAGGAATAAAAACTATAACTAGACCTAGTCATTGCATTTTGATCAAACTTAACAGAATAGATCTAGTTAAGTCATAGGACCATTCAATTAAGGAGGCATTAAAAGAAAGTTTTACTGAAGTAAATGTAAAAATTCCTGCTATCAATCATTAATAAGCAAATAGACAAATTACATTTACTCCTCTGAAAAGATAACACTGCAAACATATCAAAAAGATTATGGCACTTGTGGGACAATATTCCTGATAAACATGTAAATGTGTGGAGGTGCACCCTAATTATTTTGGGAAAGACAACAGCAGGCTGGGCAAAAAGTGATTCAAATCACCAGTGAAAAAGGAGGTGAAGCTACCACAGAATCCTAAGAATAAATAGCTTGGAAAAGACCAATGAAAATAATGCTGATTCTCCTCCATTTTTCACTTTTATTGCCTTTACATTTTTTAAATTTACAAGAAAAAAATTTTGCAATGGGATTTGAGCCATAGGTGAACAAAACTATGCTTTCGTGTGAAATGTAAAACAAACGAAATATCATGAAGCTACTTGCTGCAGCCAAAAACCAATTTTTACCTCTCGGTATTTTACTATTTCTAAAAGGAGATGGCATGTCTCAAGGAATAATTCCTTTAAAAAATAAATGGGGCTAAATTGTTTGTACCGCATCGTGGGTTTACACCACTTCCAATAAAGCCAAAGTATATATTACAATAAAATAGATGCTTACTTTATGACATCAAACCATGTTCTTCCTTCTAAAAATAGGGCTGTTCCTAAAACACTGTATTAATTGTCTATGTATCTTACCTTACTGTGCAGGACAAGCAACTGCCTATAAATATAATCATTCAACCTAATCAGGCCTTTTGATAAAAACACATTTAAAATGATACAGGCTTTAACAGCATCACCAGAGACCACAAATGTGTTAATGACTCTGGAAGTTACATAACTGAATTTAAGACAACCGCTTTTTCTTGTGGTTGTTCCTTAAAGTGAGTAAGTTGATGTCTCTTCCAGTGAGGGGCCTGTCTGAATGTTTTGCCACAAACTGAGCATTCGAATGGCTTCTGCCCTGCATGAATTAGATAGTGTCTCTCCAGTTTAGATGGAGATCTAAAACTTTTAGAACAAACGCTGCATGGGTAAAGAAGGCCATCATTCCTCTCAGGATGTTCTGAATAACTACAACAATGACTAAGAGGGCTCTGCTCTGATTCCAGAAGGGCATTAGAGAGAGAGGGCTGCCTGCTCCTACAGTGGGCACCAAGAATGAAATCCTCTGATTCTGCCTTAACTTTTATTTCTGATATTTGATCTGACTCTGAGGCCTCACATTTTTGAAAACCAAGAGCCTTGCATTGTTGAGAAGCATTATAGTTAACGTTATCACCTGGATGAATGAAAAGTCTGCTCAAATTGTCTAATTCTACTTGGCAAAGAGATCTTCTATAAGGAATCTTTTCAGTATGAGTTAATTTATGTCTTTTTAAGTGAGCTGACTGTCTAAAAGATTTCCCACAAACAGTACAGCCAAAAGGCCTCTGTCCAGTATGAATTAAGTAGTGTCTCTGTAGTTTGGATATAGAAGGAAATACTTTCTCACATTTGTCACAAGGACACATCTTATGTCCAGTATGGATGTTTTCACTTGGAACTGAAAAACCACACTGAAGCACTTCGCACTTATCAAAGAACTCCTCACCTGATGAACCATAGACAGATATGTCTTTATTATTCACTGAATTATCCATAGTTAACATGTTTTCTGTCGTAAGGATACCTTTCAAGTTTTTCCCCATATTTTGGCTCGGGAAGTGCTTTTGCCAAGAAGATGGCAAAGTCAATGTTTTCTTTTTTTTATTGCCAGCTGTCTTATATGTTCCATGTTTGCCAAGAGAACCCATAAATGTCCTCTGGGTTTGTTCAGGGTTCTGCTCACCAGAAATAAGATCACAATTTTTCAAGAAACCGTTTTTAAATACTTTTTTCTCAGATCTAAAGTTGTCCACTTTCTTACCCCCAACACGTTTAAGCTTGGCCAAGATTTTTCTAACGATGGTTTTATAGTTGAGGCTTCTTTTGAAACTGCTTGGGATTTTGCCGCTTCTGGCAGGAAAACACTTGTGTCCATTGAGAATCTGCTCTGATTCAAAACACTCTTCACACTCTGGACACTGGAAAGGAACAATATAAATAGAGTGGACATCAAGCTGATTATTCTCCTCGGATTCACCTATAGCACCATTTTCAAAACCATCCTGCTTTGCATTTAATTTATTAGGCAGGGGGTACGATTCTGGACTCTTCGCTTTTAATGAAAGAGTCTGAAAAGTCTTATTCCTGGTATGGATTTGTTTATGCTTCAGAAGTTTGCTTTGAATCTTAAATCCTTTTTGACAAAAACAACATTGAAAAGGTCTTTCTTCTGAATGTGTGAGTTGGTGGATTTTTAGATGAGTTGACTGTCGGAAAGATTTACTGCACAGGACACATTTAAAAGGCCTCTGACCAGTATGAATAAGGGCATGTCTATCGAGTTTTGATTGTGATGGAAACATCTTGCTGCAGATTGTACATGCATGAATATTCTTTCTTTTCTTTGTAGGGCTGTAGGTAGGATCAGACTTAGTACATGGGTGCAATGCCCATCTCTCCTCTGTGGTACAAGTATGATACATTCCATACGCTGGCTTTTCTTGCTTGGCCTCCAACAGTCTTCTGACCTGTTTAACATCATTCTGGTAGGTTTCATTGTGAAGGTGTTGGTGCTTCACAAATGTCTTCAGGTTTTTGAAGTGGCGTTGACAAATGCTACATTTGAAAGGCAGATTATGAGTGAGTTGATGCCTCTCCAGATGAACTAGTTGCCTAAAGGTTTTATGACACACATCACATTCAAATGGCTTCTGACCAGTATGAATGAGATAGTGCCTAGCTAATTTTGATGGTGTTTCAAAGTGCTTGAAGCAAATATTGCAAATATATGGCCTGTTTCTAGGTAGTTTGTTGGCTACTACACACTGTTCAATCTTTAGCATTTTTAAATTGTTTTCAGCCATCATATTCTTCAATGACATGTTTTGAGGAGCTCCATAGTATTCTTAATCTCCACAGATATCTAAAAAGTTAAAAAAAAGTATTAATTTAAAAATTATTTATATTCATATGAAAAGAAATAATTTAAATTGTCCTTTGGCTAAAGATATTAAGGATAAAGAGGAGATCTGGACTTTTCTTGTGTTTAAAAGTTAATAACCATTTTGGATGAATACTTTAGAATCATAAAACTAATTTCACACATATAGAGAAATGATGAGTCTTTAAAAGAAATATTCAAAAACCTATCTAGTTTAAGCTATATTTCTAATTAAGATGATACATTAAAATGAGACTGAATTGAATTGAGCATTAAGTAGACCTTTTAATTCCAATATTCTTAGTTCACTATTAAGTAGATTTGTCAATATTTAGTTGCTTTGTCACTTTTTAAAATTTGGTCTAGAAAGGTAAACAGTATAAGAATTAAAATTTTGCCCCGCCGGGTGTGGCTCAGCAGTTGAGTGTCGACCTGAGATCCAGGCAATCAGGGTTTGATTCCCAGTCAGTGCACATGCCTGGGTTGCAGGCTCCATCCCCAGTCGGGGGGCATGCAGGAGGCAGCAGATCAATGACTCTCTCATCATTGATGTTTCTATTTCTCTCTCTCCTTCTCCTCTCCTCTCTCTGAAATCAATAAAGATATATTAAAAATAAAAAAGAATTAAAATTTAAATACTAAAAAGATGTATTGCACTCAATTACAGCATACCATGAACATGATTTGAGAATGGAATGTTTCATTTATCAAAGTTAGATTTCTTAGCCACATTATTAACACTATTTATTCTCAATTCTTTGGACCAAAACATGACAACTAGAAGAAAATGTCCTAGAAAACCTAGATTCTACTCCTGGATTTGCCATCATATAATCTTGGTGGCAAGAAGAAGGAAATACAGATTCCTCATCTCTAAAACGGGGAAAATGCTTCCTGATGCACCTGAATGCTTTGGAAAACTTCAGCAATATACGTGTTAAGGTGTTATGTGGCTCAACACTCATCAGAGTTTAAAACTTTATCCTTACCTACGGAATTTCATTTCTAGGGTTTCTAACTAAGAGATAAATACACTAACTAAATTTACAGTTCTTTTTATTTCTCCTTTCCACTTTGTTGTAGAATCCCTAGAAGACAAGTGTAGAGGCAATGAACTCCACATACTGGCTACATATACACTTTGTTTTCAGACTTAATATAAAGATAAAACTTTTTCTTCTAATACACTTCTGTAGGACACACAGAAAAGGCACTTTTGCAACCACCTTATACCCTATCTTCCCTTCTTTCATGAGAGACACCAATTTTCTTCTCATCCTTCTTCCACTATTGCATTCTCCTTAAATAAGGGAGTCAGAGGTTTAAATCAACACTAACAAGCAAACAAAAAACATTGTTCTAGCTCTCTCATTCTAATGTTGTATCTCCTAGTTGAGGTCAGAGAGAAGACAAGTTTATCAGAAACTCAGGGTTCTTTTGTCAGTTGATTTAGCCAACATCCAACATATAAGCTATTTGCTATTTACTGTCCTCTCCTAGAAGACACCTTATACACAAAATTACAAACACACCCACTGTGTGGTTCTCTTCAGCAATCTGAATAAAACACACACACACACACACACAATCAAAATTCATTTGTTGAGCAAATATCTTCTACTAGTTGCTTTCTCAGTGTTTTTCAAACTGCATGTCACTACCCATTAACAAATTATAAAATCAATTAAGTGGGTCATGATCAGCATTTTTGTTCAATAAAACAGAGAAAGTATAAAACTGCATAACACAGCAATTTTCAACTAGTGTGCCACAGCACACTGGTGTGCTATAATAATTTTTAAAGCATGCAATACCTGACTATTTAGTCAGGGGCACTGACCTCTTTTCTCTTAGATTGTCAAATTAAAAAAATGATAACAGCCAACACAACAACATCTGTTTGGTGTGAATGAATCGAAGTTATAACTTTTTGGGGGTCAGGTCAGCAAAATATGTATTTTTTGGTGTGCCACAGAATTTTAGTAATTAGTTTATGTGTATCATGAGATGAAAAAGGTTGAAAATTGCTGGCATACATATAGCAAGGATAAATACTGTTTTGTGAAACTTCTGTAGGAAGAGGTAAAAAAGTTTGTGAAAGCTGTTCCTAGCGTCCTTCTTTACACACTAGACAGAGGAATCCACAACAAATCAATTGCTTTATTCAAAGTGGCTAAGTAATCTATTAAGTAATATCAAGGCCCATGGGATGAGACAGGATTACTAAGAAAAACAAGTGTCTGGTTTTGTTCAGTTGGCCCATATAGTCCCAAAATACTTATCAAAAATCTAATTAGAGGCCAAATGAAATATTCCACAGAGATTTAAGAAAAAATAAAATAATCTGACTGCAAGCCACTATATTAATTTATAAAATACCAAGATATCCATGTAAGTAAAAATCAGCTGTTGGTGCTATTAATAAGCATTTTCCTGACACCAAGTTACAGAAATTACAGGTGAACAACCTCCAAATCCCTAAACATGCTAACACAGTAGCAGTTATGAAGATTAAAAGTAAGTCATGACTCCAGTGAACTGCCAAGAACTTGGCAATTTATTTAATTCCCGTGGAGCAATCAGGTATCAACATAGTCAACCAAGACAACCAGCCAAATTGAATCAAGCCTTTGTTCGCCTACTGCGACAGTGCAGGAAGGAGGCTAAAAGTACTGCTGGCTCCCCAGTGGTTTATTAAATGGAACAACACTAGGTAAGGGTCAGGTAGATGCTGTGCACACAATCATCTTACTGCAGAGGAGGCCCAAACAAAAGGCTTCTGCCTGGTTATGGACCTGTGGGCCAGGCCAGAGAGGAAGGACGGACTAGGAGTGGAAAGGTCCTGGGTCAAAATGGAGAAAAGTGCATCAGTCAAGGCTGTCCCCTCTCAATAAGGTCAAGGTAGAGATGCCTGGGAAATGCCTCAGCCACGGTCCTCAGAATGAAGGTACCTGAGCCAGGAATGCAGAATGAGCATGGCTAGCAGGAGGAAAGGGGTGAGTCCCTAACTGCAACTCCCTCCAGAAAACTGCAATGTACTGATCATGCACAGCTCCCCAGCTCCCCACCTCCCTGACCCAGGCCAGCCAGGCAAAGTCTTGCTATTGTCTACCTTTGGGTATGAAAGATCATACAAAGGATTTTGGCCTGGAGCTAGATTCCTCAATTCCCGTTCTATATTTTCCTTCCTTTTAATAGTGTCTGAAACACTCTTAAAAAAAAAAAAAAAAAAAGCCACACTAGACTCACACACACACAACCATCTCTGATTATAAGTTATTGACTACCTACATACAGCTCCTGTGCCAGAGAGTCTATGGTTGTTCATCTACCACTAGGACTGGATACTATTGTCACTGGCCTCCAAATCACGTAGGAAAACACTTACTGGGAGCCCCATATTGTTAGGCTACTGGTGGCAAGCAGTGATCTCATCTCCTATTTATAAGTGACAGCTCAGGAATCCTCAGCGCTCCAAGTGCATACTTATACAGGGTGCATATACTTATACAGGGTGCATATACTTATACAGGGTGCATATTAATTGGATAGAGGTCTAAATCCTACTTCATCTGATTCTCTGTGCTCTCATTTTTTTAGTCAATAATATTTTTAAAAAACAACCCCCAAACTTTGTAATTTTTCCTATGTTAAACTGAAAATGAAAATAAAATAGTAAACTTCAATGGTTCAATCTGAACACTATCCCTGACAACAGCAAAATGCGAGCCGTTGACTGTAAAAACTGGTCTCAAAAACCTCCAAAGTTGCTTCAAGGCCAAAAGCCTGTTGGTTTTCTAGCCTTAACGAACACCATTAAAACGAAGTGAGGTTCTCACAAAAGTCAATGAAAAAGAAACGAAAGACCTGGGAGAAAGCTGCACAACTTTCACTAGGGGAATAATCTTTGGCGACACTTGCCACAGCCGTTCCCTCTTTCCACCTTCTCCCTCCTCCCCCCACACCCCCGGCCCACTCTCTCGGCCTTGAACCCTCTCCTCTCCCTCCCGGGGGCTGCACTGGACAGAGGCTCCAGACACCTGGCCCCTGCCTCATCGCCCACAACCAATAAGCACCGAGGGGTTCAGCCCAGTCCCGAGATTGCAAAATCCCACAGCAGGAAAGGAAGGGCAAGCAAGGGTGAATGAAAACCGCTTCGGCCCAAGCCAGGGATAACATGCCTTGCATGACGTGACCCGTCGCTGCCAAGGAAAAGCATTCTCTCCGGGCCTTCCCCTCGGCGATTCCCACTCCCCGTGAGACGCAGTCACGACGCGCGGCCGTGGGAAAGGAAAGCGAGCTAAGGTCGTGCCGCCCGCGCGCTGGGTCCCGAGTCCTTTGGCGGGACCGAGGCCGGCCCGACCGTTCCCGGGGCTCGCTACACCTCACGCCCGCGTCCCCGCCGCCCTCCTCACGCACCTGCAGCTGGCCCGGACCCGGCGACCACACATCTCAGGGACCCG